TTTTCATGAAATGTAAAAATTTTTGAAAAACCTTTATTATCAATGCATTCAGCATCGTTTGTAGATGATTGTAACACTAAAAAAATTACTGTAGATTTTTTATTTTAAGATGGGTTATAATTATATTAGTTGAAAATATATTAGTATAGTATAGGCCATATAGCTCGAAGAATCGACGACCGTTGGGGAAAAAAGGTTCTCGAATAGCAGCCTCGTACCGGTGGGTGAAGTGTAGGGCAACCCCCCACTATATGGAGTGACGACCTGGTAAGTCATGCAGGAAGTCGATGGATACAGGTGGTTCAGGACCGTGCTTTGTGGCATACCTTGGGGGCGGCCTATGTTCAGCAGTGGACTTGTGAAGGGCTGTAATGATGACGAATAATTTAAAATAAATAAAGATAATAAAAATTGATACATATTCTACAAACAACGCAGGTGATTTGTAATAACAATAAAAGGTGCAATAAAAAGTGGTGATTTGTGACAAATTTATTGTAATAACTTTTATTTCGAAAAATCTTGATTACCAATGCATTCAGCATTATTGCATTCAGATGATTGTAACAATAAAAAAAATATTGTTATAATTATATTCGTTGAAAATATATTTGTTTTTAAGCTTTCACACCTCTTCTCTAAAAAAAAAAGAGCGGAGCCATTCGCTCAACCAATACGAAAGATTATTTGCATCATGCTTTGCTGAAATTTATTGAAACAACGGCAAAGATTTGTTGTTGTATGGTGCAATGGCTTAGTAGAGAACAATGGGAGGTTCAGAGCCATCCGACATCAAAGTAGACTTTATCAAACTTCCAATAGTGTCAATACAAATACTCCCAATTATGGGATCCTTATTCAAAAATTATCATATTTCATGAAAATTCACAACTTTTAGTGATTTTCAGAAGATTTTTCAGGACTACAACCGAATAAAAGTTATTACAATCACCTGCGTTGTAGTACGGGTATTGATTTTTATTTTTTTTTTAGTTTGGGTTCCAAGTTCACAGAGCTGTTTAGATGGATACTTCTGTTAGCTTTTAAAATGTTTCTGCATATTCACTGGTTGAATACCTGTACTCAATGGCTGGCATCACTCAACCGAGCCTCATCATTCCGAACGGAAAAAAACGTATGTGTGTGATGTATGTACGGAATCCCGAATCGAAATTACGAAACGGAATCTCGAAACGGAATTCCGTATTTATGTGGCCGGCCTTACTGGGCAGACATAGGTTAAAGCGTGTTAGCTACCTAGACGAACTTCTACTATACGGACTTTTTATAAACGCTGGTATTTTGTGACAGAAAGTTCACGTTTCACGGTCGAGCTGACTTGGTCCGCCACATACATATGAAATTCCGTTTCGGGATTCCGTTTCCGAAACGGAACGAATGAGTCGACCACACACATACGGAATCGCGTTTTGTCCGCAAAATTTCATGGTAGTCATTGATTTTATATGGACTTGCTGCGTTCGGAATCCCGAATCGGAATACAGTAAATATGTGGCTAAGCATAATGATGTAGCTGCAGCCTGGCTCTACCATGTATAAAATTTACGTACATTTAAAAATAACAATTACGTAATAACAGATAAATGAAGTCATGAATTAATTCATTCTAGCGAATGTCATTTACGACATAATAATGTGAATTGCAAAAATACTTAACGATATTATAATTGAGATATTGACTTTTTTTCAAATGTAATAAATTCCTTTAGTCGTGGAACTTGGAACCGGGCGGCAGGAAACAAGCTTCAGGACGCCGATAGTTTTGGTAATTTCTTTTTACAGCGAAAATAATGGTAATTTAAAAAAATAAAAAACGTAAGCTCTGCTTTATGGTTAGTTCAGTTAGTATGCAAAGTTTCATGATCTTATTAAAAGTATTTTATGAATAACAGCGGTTTATTGTTCAGTTTGGAGGTAACTATGGATTTTTTTATATCGAGAAAATTTTACGGAATCATATTTTCGTCTAATATAGTACTTAACATTAATCTTCAACTTTACCATATATTTATTTCAAAATTAATGCTGCAATATTTTCGGCATAACGGAGGATCTTGCTAAGCCATTTGAGGCTATATTTCCCCTTAACTATGACATTGGGATGTTGAACACATCAATCCCCTCCGTGACCATGGGTGCTGCAAGTGCTCGAAACGTCGGGAATATAAAATAAGTTAATATACGCGATAAAATCCATAAAAAATAGTTTTATTTAAATGACCGCAATTGTTCATTATGATTATTTTAACGAAATTGAAATTAGGTTAGTATTGAGCAAGACAAGGCGAGAGTGAATAGAATACCAGCGTGAAATAGCAGCTCATTGCTTCTGTGTTTCGTATGGTGAGTGTAGAGAAATGGTGACCCTTTTTACTGGAATCGAGACATTCCATCTTAGTCCTCACGGGTGACAACGCATTTGCATGTTGATCTTTAATTGAGAATAAATGTGGATGTCAATGTAAAGTAAAGTTACAGCCTATAGACGTTCCACTGCTGGGCACAGGCCTCCCCTCATTTCTGAGAGGTTTTTAGCAACGCGTGTTGGCGAACTTCACACGTCTTCGAAATATTTTTTTCTTATTCCTCAGACATGCAGTTTTCCTCACGATATTTTCCTTCACCGCCGAGCACGTGGTTAATCAGCACTTAAAATTGCAATCAACGATCTCATTGGTGCCGGCGGGGATCGATCCCGGGTTACTCGCGTTCGCGTATATTTACCGGGAGCGTTAGTAGCTCAGTCATGTCAATAGGCCACAGTTATTTACTGTGTGCTCGTTTGTCACCCAATGCTAAAAAAAGAGTGAATAGTTTTTTTGCTAAGACAGTGGCTAGTAATCTAGGGCTTCATCAACACTTGCCACCAGGTGGGGTTGTGTTAAGGGGAAATAGAAAAAATACTACCTCAAATGGCTTAGCAAGATCCTCCATTATGCCGTAAATATTGCAGCATTAATTTATGGTAAAGTTGAGGATTAATGTTAAGTACTATGTTAGACGAAAACACGATTCCGTAAAATTTTTTCGATAGAATAAAATCCAAAGTTACCTCCACACTGAACAATAAACCTCTGGTATTCATAAAATACTTTAAATTAGATCATGAACTTTGCATACTAACTGAACTTACTATAAAGCAGGGCTTATGTTTTTTATTTTTTTAAATTACCATTATTATCACTGTAAAAAGAAATCACCTAAACTATCAGCGTCTTGATGCTTGTTTCCTGCAGTGTTGCCAACTTGACGGGTTTCCCGTTAGATTTGACGGGACAGCGAGGTTGGTAACGGGAAAAAATTGTGTTTAAGAGGATAGAGTAAGTCAGCTCAAATTCTAATTTCGCCCCCACTTCCCCGCGCGTCGTATGCTATGTACCGATATGTTTGTAATCACTAATACTGTAAGTAGAAAGGTCGTTAGACACTTATTTCATTAGGTTTATCATATTTATGCCTGTTTCTTAACGCCAAGCCAGTCGCTTCTTATTTTTATTACGGTTTTTTCCCATTTTAATTTTACGTCGTCCTGTTGCGTAATGCATATTCTGATCGTAAGCGACACAACTTCTCCCCGTTCAAAGGTCGAGGCGAAGTGACTAGTGGAAGCCGTGCCGCAGGAATCACGCTTCAAGACGCCGATAGTTTAGGTAATTTCTTTTTACAGTGAAAATAATGGTATTTTAAAAAAAGTAAATAACATAAGCACTGCTTTATAGTTAGTTTAGTTAGTATGCAAAGTTTCATGATCTTATTTAAAGTATTTTATGAATAACAGCGGTTTATTTTTTATTTTGGAGGTAACTTTGGATTTTTTTTCTATCGAGAAAATTTTACGAAATCGTGTTTTCGTCTAACATAATCATTAACATTAATCCTCAACTTTACCATATATTTATTTCAAAATTAATGCTGCAATATTTTCGGCATAACGAAGGATCTTGCTAAGCCATTTGACATTATATTTCCCCTTAAGTACGTTATCGGAATCAGTATTCAAGCCTAAAAATGTGAGTTAGAGAAAATAAAATCACATACAATTTGCAAATATTTTTTTAAATTAAATTAAAAAACATTATGGTCGAGTTTTCTGAAAAAAAAATTATTTCTAAAAGCTTGAATACCGATTATAATAACGCAGTTAACGGGAACCACAGGGTTTTTGTTACACGTTGTATATTATAGTAAATAATAAAAAGCATTGTTTTTCTTTAAAATAAATTGTCATGTTACACTAAGACTAAAAAATTAAGGGTGTCCGGCCTTTGACCAAAATGTCCGGCTAAACTCTCCAAGGGTTGCCAGATCCTATAACTTTCGGTTATAGGATCTGGCAACCCTACCCCAATGTAATATGAGGCCTATGTTCAGCGGTGATCTCTTAATAAGCTGTGTAGGTAATGGACCAGAATAGCTCACTATCGTACATAAACCCCTTCTAAATTGCATACACAGTACTTATACTTCATAGAAATGAGATAAGGCTGGGTATATAGGCTGTAATTTTAGTTTAGGTAGTATCTACAGTAAAGTTAGAAAAAAGTCTACTACGCTGTTACAATGTAGTGACAGTTTGCATAACTGTACTCTGTGATTTTTGCCGTGGACTCAACATATTTTTGGACAATTAGGTTTTACTCTCGACATGCTCGTTTTACCGCCATGATTCTAGCTAGACTTCATTCAAAACGTCACTTAAGTTTATCACAAAAATTGAGTGGGCTAATATAATAATCTAATGTTATAATATTTCGTAATTATCAAAATTAAAATGCCTTAACTTACACATAATTAATTAATAATTTTAATACGTTGTCTTAATTTAATAACTATATTGTAATGAATGTCATCGTTAATGACCGTTGGTATAATGACAACTTCTTACTAATCCCTAATGATTTTTAAATGAATGATTTAATATAAATTTAGCTAAATTTATTCGACAACTTTATTACAGTACGGATTATTAAACGGTCAACATGGCAGTCAAGCTACTGGTAAGATTGATATTATTTTTTTCATTTTACAATTGACGTGAAAAACTAAACTACAGTCCACCTGATGGTAAGTGGCTAATACAGTCTATGAACTACCGGTACCACTTTTAACCATGGAATTCCTCACAGCCTGTAAATACTCGTTCGCAACCATTCAGACGGGAACACATCAGTTCATGTACTGCTTTTTGGCTGTAGAAGAAGAAGATGATGGTACCTAGCCAGTCACACTTCCAGGCAAATATTCCTTTATTATTTTTATTATAGTTTTTGATTAATTTTTTTTACAGATTTTCCTTCTAGGAACAATTATGTTTGTAACAATCTGTGGGCACCCGATGCCAGATAATGAGCCTACTATACCCGAGATCTCTATACCAGCTGAACCGTTAAAGGAAGCTCATGCAAAAACAAACACGTCTAATGCTGTACCAACTGAAGACCATGGAAAATCAATAAATGAGGAAGAGAGCCAGGAAAAACCTCTTCCAGAACAAGTCAACGAAAACGATTCCACAGAACAACTCAACGAAAAAGTATCAAATAAAAATAGCCCTGAAACTCAAGCACAAGGTAACGGGAACCCTGTTCAACCTGCTGTAATGATACAAACAAATGACCAACCGTCGGATGCAAACAAACAGCGCCAGCAGCAGCAGAATCAACAGGACGTAATAACGACTCCACAACAAGTCCAGCGACAAACTCCTAGTCGACAAGAGAATCCACCAAACACTCAACTAAGTCAGGAGATACCGAACTTACAAACGGTGCCGGAACTGCAACAGCAGCAACCAAATCGACTTTACATCGTGATACCAGCACCATCAAATCAGTTACCAACTAACTTCCCTTTTCAACCGCTATATTTCAATTCGAGCCAACGTCTATCACAACCTCAATTTATATTTAATCAGCCTTCACCTATGCTGCCAATGTTATCTTTTCCATCAATGATGTTTCCATCACAACAGTTTCCAGCACCGGCTTTTATAACGGTACAGCCAGGAACTAAAACAGAAGACATTCCACGACCGCTACAACCAAATCAACAACTTGGTGGAATGGCGCAACCCAATCTGCTACCAACATTTTATGTGCCACCGAACACACCGTATGGCAATGTGCGACCACCGTTTCCAATGGTGTTTAGTCCACCAGTACTACCTCAACTACCACAATTTGTGCTTCATAGTCAACAGACTAGTCCATCAGACACTGTGATAGGACAATCTTCAGTTTATTTAGGTCAACCCAATCAAAACCAAGAGTTCATTTTAATTAGAACGAAGTAAGTATGGTAGACATTGTGAGGAGAAATTGGATTGACGTGTGGAGTGCGTGCATACAACTGTAAAAAATTTGGTAAAATTATTATGTGTTATAAATACTTATGTTTCGAAGACCTGTGAAGTGCACCAATACGCACTGGATACAACAGTGGAGCGGTGCTGCGGATTTGTTGCCCCAAAACCCCCGGAGAAATGAGAGGAGACCTGTGCCCAGCTGTGGGGAGGTGGATAGGCTTACTGATGTATTAAGTGTAAATAATAAAATAACACAATAGTGAGTTTTCTATTTTCTAAATGTAAAATTTCTTCGTATACATTTTTCAGATTCTCTAAATAGTAAATGTAGAAAGATATGTAGTAGAATGCTGTCCGTTAGTTTAAATAAAACTCTATATGGGGTTGAACGTTTTTAAAGAAATTTTGAGTGCCGTAAATACCTATATTATATAGTTTGTTCTCGGAATTTAGATTCTCTTATTAAAGGCATATACATAAATAAGAACAAATGGAAGTTATTACTTTTTAAATAATCAATTAAGCATAATAATTAAATTATTAGTAATATTATATATTAGTAAAATAAGTTATAAATAAATATTTCACGACGGTCGGGTAGGTAGCATAAAAGGGTTTCGCTGAGCGGAATGTCTTTAATAATACAAGATATTTTTAAAGATATTGATAAGATTGCTTATGTAAATCTATAAATATATAAAGCCAATGTTTGTCTGTTCGTATTTTATGCGCTGCCACCGCGTTGACCTCAGATTGCGCTAAAACTTTGTCGACTTATGGTCGCCACACACGGTCAGTTCAACTGATCAGTTCAAACTAAAACTGTTGATATTTTTTAAAATATCGGATTTTCGGTATATCGATGATTTTGGATTGGAGTTTTATATATATTATGTTTATTTATCGATATATCGAAACCGACCGTGTGTGGCGTCCATTACTTGCACTTGCGCAAAGGCTATATGCATAGTACAATTAATTTACAGTAGGTGGCGCACGTATCGTCCTGACTATTTTAAAGTTATATATCATTCAACTTCAATGAATGTATTATTAGTCCATAGACTTAGAATATACTACCTAAACAATATAACGATATTTACACAATTATTTCTTCTGTGGTAGCATCACGCATCGGTAACGCGCCGGATACCTACTAGTTATTTATTCTGTGCTACTAGCTAGTAATATTATAAAAATATAAACTTTTAATAAAATGTAAGGTGAAAATAGAAGCTATAACGTGGAAATTACTTTATTGCTTTAAGTTTTTGCGGACGGATATTATTTTTTGCTCTTTGCAGTGGACTAAAGAATATCACAAGTTCAAGGTTACAAGTACGAGGGCGACACTGAAACTTTTTTGAACTGGCCACTTGTAAACGATATATAATAAAAAAAAGTTAAAACTTTGAAAATGGAACTCTTTGCCAAAATTATTGTGTACGTATTTTATTAATTTGTCATTTGTTTACGATTTGGCGGCAAATTGAAAATTATCTGTGTCACGTCAGCATAAATTTCACGCGAGAAAATTTTCTGACAATGATTTTTTATGACTTTAGATGTCATTAAAGTCAACAAGAAAGTTATGATAGACTTCGATTGACCTTTCACGATGAAGCCCCATCTCATGTCACTGTTTACAACTGGTTTAATGTGTTTAAACGTGGTCACACTTCTCTCTCCGATGATCTCCCCATCACTTATCTCACCGATGATCTGCATGAGGGACGGCCTTCTACGGCGACGACTGAACATAACATCAGTGTTGTGCGGCATATGATAGAGACTGACAAAAGAGTGTCTTATCAGCAGATTCAGAGTAAAGGAAGCTTTTGTAAGTGCTCTGTGTATGCTGGCGATAGACAAGCTTAGGCATCGTTATGAGTCAAGTGCACAAAATCCTCCGCGAACATTTAGCGGTCGGGAAGCTTTGCGCCCTTTGTGGATACCTCATAATTTGATAGGGAAAAAAAGACTCCGTCGTGTTGATTGGTGTCGTGAAATGGTTAAAAGATTTAACGGAGGTGACTCAAATGCTGTGTTCGACATATTTACGGGTGACGAAAGCTGGATGTATTGTTATAATCCTGAAACTAAGAGACAGTCTGCTGTCTGGGTGTTCCCTTCCGAGGAGTTGGCAACTAAAATGAAGAGAGGTCGAAACGTGTAAAAAAAGATGGTGGCCGTTCGTTCTTCAGAAGGACAGGTCATTATGCAACAATTGTTTTAGAGGATAGAAAAACAGTTACTGCAGAGTGGTACACTAACAATTGTTTTCCATTTGTCTTGGAAAAATTTTGGGAGAAACGATCTCGCAGTAGGATCCTCCTTCACCACGACGACGCCTCGTTGCACACCGCCAAGCAAATAGCCCCGACCTCGCACCTCGCAATTTTTATATATTTCCGAAAATAAAAGAAAAACGTTTTATGAACGCCGAGGAAGCAGTGGCTGCGTTTCAAAATGCCGCCGAAGAGACCACTAAGGACGCGTGGGCAAAGTGATTTTCTCAGTGGTTTCATCGGATGCAGCGATGTATTGATGTAAATGGACACTATTTTGAAAAGATATAATAAAACTAATAAGTTGCTAGTTCGTTCAGTTTTTGATTTTCTAAAAACTTTCAGTGTCATCCTCGTAGAAAGGCGTCGAAATAGTTACATTAGAAATCATCCACTATTTTTCTGCACTTAGGAGTGAATTTTTTTTTGCAAATTTCCCCTGAAGTACAACCTATTTACTAAAAAAATAATTTTAATTGGTGTACCCGTTTCTAAAAGAAGCGGTAAATATACCATAAAAACCCTATATGTCGAACATAGTTTCTCTTCGCTTTTTGAGCTTGGTCAGACTCGGTTAAAATAGTATATGATTGTGCCGTACAACAAATGATGGCAATTATCTGAGTTTTTTTGGTAGCGGCACTCTAAAATGTAGTGAAACATTGATATTGCAATTTGAAAAAAATAAACCAGAAACCTGTCAGGTTTTAAATCAATACGTTAGATATGGCAACATTCTCAAAAAGGAGATGACGACAATGGTTAGAAAAAATTTGCAATTAACGTGTATTTACATATTGCATTTAAAAAACGGCAGGCGTATAGTTACGTGTAAATGAAAATCTTATAGTCTATTAGACAACCAAGACTTTTTAATTTCTTTTCTTACTTCACTGTTGTAAAAAAGATTCTGAAATAACAGTAGAAACCAAAGAACGTTAAGTACATTGACAAACGACAACACAGTCCACCTGATAGTAAGTGACAACGCTTAAATTAGGCTCGCCGTATTTTTTCAATAACTGAACCGAAAGCTGCGAAATAAACTTACGAGTACTTATGTTATAGCGTGTACATTGAGTAGTCATTGCCTTGGCAAAAATTGGGCATCTAAAATGAAATAGACTTAAAAAAACTAAGTAAATGTATTATTACATTGCAATGAGTCCTTACACTGTTTCAAAAACATTAAAGGGTACATTTATAGCAGTATTACAACGCGCGTCTAAGCCCTTTGAATTATATTACAACATAACTTAGATCAAGCTAATAAAAACGTGTTTAAAGGCTTTCGGCTTACCAATAAATATTTATTTATTTAGCACTTGAGTGAAACGTTTACAATCAAAATATAATTTGACTTCTGAGTCAGATAGAATTTTGTTTTCGCTGTCCCAAATTGTTTGATTTGTTTAAACATAAAGGAATGTGGTTTTTCCGGTTGTCATTGCACTCTGTTTATATACCGAGGGATTTAGTAATAACAAACGATTCCTAAACTAAGCCTGTTGGATTAAATTGTGCTTAGAACTGTGACTGTGACTACCATATTAATTAAATATGGTAGTCACAATTACCGAGTAATGGCGGTGTAGGAATATCTACTACACCACATCATCCCGTGGGTGTCGTAAGACGCGACAGTGGGAAACAAATCAAGAGATAGGCAGCAGCTTTTACCTAATATTGGCTGTGTTTGGCAGAAAAAAGCGATAGAAGCGCTTGTAAGCTAAATGGCGAAACTATACAGTTTTCGGCTAGGACACGTTTGCTTACTTCAGTAGCGCTGACACAATCCGCCATTTTGCTTACCTATTTATTTTGTTTGTTTTGAAGTAGAGTTTATAAGTTTATTTATTTATTTATTTATTTTCCACTATACAATTATCTTTACAGGTTTATCATCTAATGCGATAATGTAGACAACTATTTTACCAACTCCAACTACACAGTTACAAGCTAATAATTTTCGATTATAGATATGTACTTATTGCTATTTCAAACACGTATCTATATCATAGCAGGACCATAACTAATTTCAAATAGAGCTGTTACTATGAACCCACCCAGAGTACAACAAAATATGGGTATGTTGAAATAAAGAGTGTATAATGAAATGACGTATCATTGACACTTTGATTGTTGCCAAGAAGAGAGAAGTTTTATTTATAATAAAAAATTATAGAATAATTGATGATATATCAGGAGGATATAATGATTTTTGGAGCACAAAATGACAATAACACCACTTCAGGGAAAGTGAAAGATTTTAATCTATGTCTTCTGCTATTCGGTTGAGGATACGGAGGGCGCGCGTAAAGGGCGCTTTAGTCACCAGCTTAGTGTGGCCGCGCGGCACAGCTAGCAGCTGCGGCCGCCGCCGCCGCCACACGCTTTATATTTGTGGCCACACGTATCTGTCCGGAACACATATGCGCACTTGTTGCGAATACGTCTGGATTGTGAATCTTTCCCCTCATCACCTTAAAGATATATGAAACAAGCGCTAAATTCCTCCTAACCTAAGTTGTTTTGTGCAATTAGTTTCAAGTAATATAATGACATGAATAAACATATTGTACATGTTATTAAAAATTCATGATTTGTAAGTTTTTAATATGAATACTTTACAAACATATATTTAAATTAGGATAAGGTTCCCCGGTTAAAGCTAACTTAGTGTAACTAACTAGTTAACTT